ATTATCAAATATTTTAACTGTTACACTTCTTGCCCTAAGCCTAAATGAAAACAATTTTGAAAAAAAGAATGGGACGCTTTAACAGGTTTTCTCCCCACAGGAAAAAAAAAAAAAGGAAAATGCTGAAGCTTTATAATACCTTCCAAGAAAACAAATTGCTTGTTCTTCGAAAAGGGATGTGTATAGAGAAATATACCAACACCCTAATTGTCCACATTTTGATGTTAAAGCAGTTAACTAACGGAAATTCAGTGGCAGTGGTATGCTGGTAAGTGTTTAACAACCAGCTTTCTGGGGGTTTGGGAGTGGGGAGACCTTTGATTTGTAGCATTTGCCAATTTCTGTGCCATAAAAACTTCCACCCCAGCCGATTTCAAACTACCAACATGATGTCACTGTATGTGGAGTTATGAAGAGATGCTGACGACTGCGCTTGCTGGCTCTAGCACAAATTGGAGTGTACCAATATATCTGTCCTCTCCTGACATGGATTTTACCGCTCATTATGCTAAGATAATGTTGTGTAAGAAAATATTGAAACTTGCACAAACCCTTTATTTTCCCTATAGCAAAATCTGTATCACTCTCAGTGACTAACTTCCGTCATGAAAAGTATGTAATTCCAAAGGGACCCAAAGAAAGCACCAAGGCCCATGACAAATGCTGCTGCAGGCAGATGCTAATCCTCTAGATCAATGATCTGATACCTGACAGATGTGGTGTACGTGAGAGCGTTCCTCTTTTTCAATGATAAACTGTACATGTTCTCCTACATGAATGCAAGCTCACTGCAGCGGTGCCAGGTAGGCAGAACCGAGTCACCACGAGTTCCTTAGCGGAGCAAACCTCTTCCCTGCGGAGTAGCTTCACTCTGCACCACTGCTATCAACGGACTAGGGAAGTCCCTCTCAGAACGGATCCGAATGTCAAGTTAGTAAAGGGAGAGTCCCCTGGTGTATGCAGAAGTTTTTCTCCAAACGTAGATTGAAGGAATTTAGCTGCATTGAGCTAAGCCAATCACAATGCCAACCATACAACACTTTGCCAACGCATAGTTCATTGTTGGCTCTGAACCCATTAGGGGCGAAAATACTTCAAATGAACCTGTAGCAATTACGATAGTTGCTAACATTCATGACCTCTATATGCACTAAGATGCACTCGTACTAGAAGCAGTGGACACCTGTCTTAAAATCTTTTTAGAGTAAGCTGGGGTCATAAATAAGCAACTACTCAGCAGACACCTCTATTGTCATGGAAACTATGTGCAGGCTCCCTGGAGGGCTTTTCTTATATTCTGACTCACATCTCCTAGTGCTTTTATACTCACGGTGACAACATCTACCCTGAAGTTGTCTGCAACGCCATCTCCTCCCTCGGAAAGATCTCCTACTTCATGTGCTTTATCCTTTGAATCTTCTCTGTTTATATGAAATGCAGTGCAGAGTTCCTCTTGCATCTAACTTCTACAACAAAAATACTGATAGAGAAATGTGGATACAACGCCCATAATGAGACCTGAACATGACTGTAAATTGAGCTATGTGACACAGTGAGGTTGCGAGACAGAAGGACAGAGGTCTTATCCACAACAGTGCAGTCTGCATGTGACCATCCTTAATGTATCCAGCAAACCAAATAAGAGCCTTGGAGACTGGCTTCCTGGATTTGAATTTCAGTTTTGTCTCTTACTAGCTGTTGGATGCTGGGAAAATCACCTAACCTCTCTGAGACCTAGCTTCCTCACCTATAAAATGGGGAAAACCTACTTTACAAGGTCTGCTCTGAGAATAAACTGAGACATTTATAAAGTATTTAGAACAGTTTCTAGACTACAATGCACAATAAATGTTAGTTATTATTATAAAAAATTAGATACACAAATGAAATAAGAACAGATATTTCAGTAAGTATATACTATGGCACTCAATTTCCCAGATTTTTTGCTATATTCTGCTTCTGAAAGTAGTTCAGATCGGTGATATGGATTGACTTTGCAAACATTGTTTAAAATGGTGTCATTCTCATGGGAACGTATTCAGCTATTACACCTTCTGGAAAACGTATGCCAACCAGGGCATGACCTCACCCAAACCATGTCAGTCTTTTATTTCTCATTCAAAAGGGAAGGCTACAGGAAGAGATTTGTAACTAACATCTTTGTCTTTAGATTTTCACCTTCTCAATACACCTTTCCTGTTGATATTATCATTATTGTTCTTCAAACAGAACTTATCATATTTCTATCCTCCCAACATGAGCTGATTTTGCTTACAAAAGAAAAAAATTAACTACTCAACATGACCTTCAAGGCCCCCACAGTCTGGCCTTAGCCTGTTTCCAACTTCTGTTTCCATCACAAATTTGATCCTCTTGCCAGACTTGATTATTTATCTAATCTGTCATGTATTTTCACTTGCTTGCTCATTCATTTATTCATTTCATTCAAATACTTCATACTTGCTTACAATATGGCAGACACTTTGCTAGGTGTTAGAGATTAAAGATTTTAAAAATGCGTAGGCTCAGCTTTTAAAGAGTTCACAATCTAGTAAAGAAGGTATGTAAACAGCTCATCATAAAACAGCAATGCGATAAAATCTGTACAGAGGGTGACTTGCCTATCAAGTCCTGTTTGAACTCTTAGGAGTGAGTAATGGCTTTTGCCTGAGGAGGCTGAAAAATGTTTCACAGAAAAGGTAAACTTTATCTTTGGTGTTAAATGATTAAGAGATTATGTATTCAATAGGAAGATAAGAAAAATGTTAAGAGGCAAATTAAATTAAATAAAGCCTTGACTATATGAAAGAACCTATGGAATCTAAGGAAAGCAAGTATTTTGGTGGGTATGAAGTACATTTGGGGAAAATGGAAAATAAGGTTGTAAAGAAGGTTGTGGATAGACTGAGATTGTACCTGCTGTAATCGATGAAGGTGTCTTCCGTTTTTGTTTTGCTTGCCCAGCAAGTGTTCCCATCCCTCTTGTTATTCTAACAGACCTTGCCATCCCTGCCATGAAGCAGGTATCTGATCCAGGTCTGGCCGATGCAGGCAACTGTAGCTCAAAGGATGTGCACCTTTCAGAAGCAGGGCCAGGGACAAACCTTCCCTGAGACTGACAGTGGAAGAAAGAAGTGCACTTCTGCTGGGTGGCTAAGCAAGCGCTGTCTGTGATTTAGTTACCTGCTAAGGGGAGAAGGCTTGTTTGCATTTGTACAGAATGAGCCCAACATGCAGAAGAAGAGTCAGCAGAGATGAGATAGAAACAGAAAAAGAGTGAGTCCCAGGGAGGCTGCATCTCTGTCACAGTCCTTGAGGTCATGGTTCCTGGTGCATTTCCTTCCCTTTCACAGGTGACTGTCAACATCTTCTCGGCCACACAGGCCAATGAACCCCTACTCGGCTTAAGGGAGTTTGAGCTGTGCAGCCGCCATTTTCAAATGAAAGAGTCCTGACTGACAGATGTGCCACATTAAGAACCTGATGTACACGGGAAGGCAGTGGGAGTTTTAGAGAAATTGAGGACATGAAGTGTTTTCAAATGGATCAAAGTTCTAATAGATCAAAAGTCCGTTAGAAAAGCAGTTCCAGTGGGCTGTACAGAGGATGGGCTCAAGAGAGACCATTTAGGCACCTCTTAGGCCATTCAAGAATTAGTCTTTCATCCTTAAGAGAATTTCTGACTATTGAAATAGGCTGCCAAGGCTCAGCTCACTGGCATCTCTTCTACAGTGTCTTTCTGACCCCACTCGGCTGGCATGAATAGTCCTTTGTTCTGCATTCCTGTAGCACTTCATGCGTACCCCGGACATGTGGTTCTCAAACTGCAGCTTGCCTTACAATCACCTGGAAGGCTTGTTTAAAAAAACAGACCGCTGGGTCCTTCCCTGAGAGTTCCTGATTCAGTAGGCCTGGGGTGGGACCCAAGAATTCTAACAAGTTCCAGATGATACAATGCGACTGGTCCAGGGGCCATGCTTGGAGAACTGCTGCTCTAACATATTTCACTGGAGCTATATTCTAGTTTGTCTGCTCATCTGCATCCCCCTGCTAGATTAAAAGTTCCTTAAGGATTTTCTTATTGATCCCTCTTAAACTCTCAGTAGCCAACATAATGCTTTATGAAAAACTGGTATTTGATGTGCATTACTGTGTGTTGACTGTGGAGATAAGATAAACATCTTACCATAATAATTTCCCTCAGTTATCATCCAAACAGATTCTCTCAAAAACTGAACTGTGTAACTACAGAAAAAACGGAAAGGCAGAATATATCCTGACTTCTTTGTGGCTGCCTAATTTTGATTAGATCTTCTATCTGATTTCTTTTAATCCCTGGACATAAAAAACAATGATCCTTTTCAAATATAAGAAAACTTGAGATGCACGATACTCAAGAAGTTAAGACAAGCGGTTTGTCTTACTGGTGCATGTATTTCTATTTCCCCTTGGTTTAGCTGGCATTGGACAGCACATGGGAGAAGACACTTCAAGCATTTTTTCATCCCAATATTTACAAATGCTGATCAAACTAACTTCTTTTTGTAGCTGCTCTTACGGCAAGACATTCTGTTTCTTTAGGTTTCGTTGCCTATTTAAAAATACCAGGTTCAAAATTATTTTTTTAACCATGTCATTAAATTAGATTTTTGTGAATTAAAAAATAGCATCGTGCCTGCCTTGAACCCTGTGGGATAGGAAAGGCCAGGCTACATGACTTCTGGGTATTCAGATCAGATCTCTAGTTTGTCTATTGGAATTCACATCCTCTCCTTATGAGCTAATGTGGGTAGCTTCTGGAATCGAACATGCCTGGAAACCAAGACTCTGTTGATTTGATCTTTCTCATTGTCCCTGTGTTGAGCTTCTAGTAGTCAGAATGATCTTTATAATTCTTACAGCATCTCCAGGTAATGGGGTAGAGTTCTAGATAGACCTGGATGCAATATCTAAGGTGTATAGAGAAAAGGTGGGCGAGGGGGGTTGCAGAGTGGCATTACCTTAGGCATCCTGTGACATTGTAGAATATATCAAAATCAAGCAAACCATTCGCTTTGGGGTAGTCCCCTTCTGGCCACCCCGAAAAGGGGATAATGATATTCTCATTCAGGATGAGCAAGGCTTCTGTTATCATGAGATTCTTGAGTTTGTCATTAGAAGACAAATTCCACAGCAAACCTAGAAAAACAAAGAGAACCATCAAAACAGTGCAGGGTTGGGTCAAAATGACTGCTGAAAAGATCAGTTAAGGCCATCTCCCCGGGGCTATGGCTAGTTATAGATAAAAAAATAAGGTGTGAGGAGACAACCCCTTTCTCAACTGAAAGAACCTATTTAGGGCTTATTCGATGGCAATGGAAGCTGATCCGCAAGAACAATTTATACACACACACACACACACATACATACAGAAAGAGAGAGGGAAACGTTTAAATTAATCACAAATGTGAATGACAGTCAGAAATCTTTCAATATTTATTACTGTTTCTCTTAAAAGACCCTACCACAAAGCTGACCTCATCGGGATGATAAATTCTGGGCTTGCCAATAGGGAGGCTTGAAATGATCTTACTGTAAGTAAGATTTCAATATTATGAGTCATATTTTTTCTCCCTTAGGTGCATGGACAGAATACCTCCCCCTGCCTCCTGCTCCCCACCACCTGCGACTTTCACCTGACATTGGCCTCCCGATAACAGCAGGAAGGGCCTGCAGACAGCCTTTGCCTATGCCTGTCAACAGTAGCCTGATCAACACCACCAATTAATATTTATTGATTCCTACCCAATGACAGACTTCAAGTCCGCCCAGAATTTATGCTGGCGATCTCATGTATTTCTCATGTTAAAGTTTGGCAGTGACAGAGAGACATGAGTATTTTATCTATCTGCCAACTTGCATGGCCTAAGCTTTGGCCTAGGACTGGTACCGAATTCACTCACCTAACTTTCCCTTTCCTGTTGAACACCTTTTAACTTCTCCCACTAAAGAGAACGGCCATATAAGCCAATCTGGGAAATTAAAATAATAGGATATTGTACTTTTCAGGGCATTTGTGAGACAGAGACTGAAGCTGGGTACTGAGAGAGAACACAAGGTGGGATTTAGGACTTGTTTTTCTTACAAATTTGGTGCTCAAATACTTCTGATTCAGTGGAAGGACTATACACCTATTGCTTGCTATTCCAGTGACTCTCACCAGGTGTAAAGTTGTCTTGCCATCTTTCATACCTCAGCAAGTTATTCTAATTCACTAGCATCTGGGAAAGGAGAAAGAGAGGGGACAGAAAGAGAAGCCATCTTCATTTTCTTCCCTAGTCACTCCCTGGCCACCCAGTCAATAACTCCTACTTCTTAAATTTACTGCTTTGTCTGTATGAAGGAAAGAGGAAGCATACGTATTGTGAAAGATGACATGAGTGGAGCCATACTAAAATAAAGGCAGAGCAGTCATTTCAGTGGAACTGCCATGCACATCTTGTCTTCTTTATCTTCCACACTAGACAAAACCACCAAGATTCCAGGAAGTCAGTAAGGACTGATAAAAGTGGATTTTGCTGATGACCAAATTGCTAACCAATCAATGAAATGCAAGTCTAGCCTTCTGCCTGATGAGTGACTCTCAAGCCCATCTATGAGGTACAAACCTAGCCTTACCTCACCTAGTGCCAATGAGCTCCCCTTTAATACAACTCACCTCATCTTCCTCTCTGTCTCCAACAAAAACTCTGAGCCCCTCTCCTGTAGTCGAAATATGATTTGGGTTTCTACCTGACTCTGTGCTCCCCAAATGGCAATTCTTTGATCCCAAAATAAACTCCTCACTGCCTCTCATTTTGGTTCTTTGCTTTTTTTGGTTAACAGTATACAGGACAATCTACTTTAGGAGAAAAGCAAACATGGTGGTCTTGGCTGAATTATGTGGTGATATCATCTCCCTAGATTTTAATGACTGAAACAATAGTCTGTAGGGTTAAAGGCTGGTAATTATTCTACCACACTTGAATTTGGCCCATCAATTAGAACCTTCTACGCCTAATGCAGTCTTTTGGGCTTAACCAGTTTACTTTGGCTGTGTATAAGTAACTAATTTCTGAAACAATAACCAAATTTCCACTGCAGCCTACACTTGGCTTCCATGAGATACAGTGACATCGGGTCTAGTGTCCTGTGAGGACTCAAATTCTGGCTTATGAGGAAGTCTTTTCTTGCTCAAATGAGCATTTGGGGTTAGTCATGAGCAGTGTCCCTCAGCCACAGGTTTTGCAACACAATGACTTCATTCCTCCCACTTCATCTTAAGAGGCCCTGGATGGGGGAGAGACAGAATAAAACTCCAAAGGTGGTTGAAAACAATTTAAAGGCAGGTCTGAGTTGAATCTGGTTACTAAGCTACAAAAGAAAGTTAAAAAGAAAAGAGCGAGAAGGAAAAAAAAAGCTTCCTGTTCTAAATAAGCAAACAAATTAACAGTCTCTGCCTGCCAGAGGCTTAAAAATGTGAAGCATAATGACATTTCCTTTTTTTAAAAAGGACCACACAGGGCACTCAAAGGAAAAGTACACCTTACAATAAAAACCATATCTGGAGGATTAATTTGAACAAAGGGAGTGGAATTTTCCTTCAGCAGTCAATGTCCTTTGTAGCTTGGCATGCTACATTATTTCTACAGAAGTATATGCTTTGGGGGGTTTTAGTAAAATTTTTGAATTTTTAATGGAGGATATTGTATAGGAATGTCATGCCTGCCAAGTTTCTGTATGGTCCAAAGCTAGGAAAAAGCTTAAATGTTCACTAGAGCTTTGGGGTTACACACACATCTACAAACATCTCCTCACACATATACACAGAAAATCAGTAAGTGATCAATTACAAATTGGGAAAATATGTATGACGATACGAGACAAAGGGATAATATCTTTAATACAGAGAGTTTTTATAAATCATTAAAAATTAGTTACTAGTAGAAAAATTAACCCCAAATTAAAAGATGTTAGACTCTAATACACATAGGCAGGCATGTTCTCTAATAACTAAAGAAATGCAAATTTAACAGCTAGATATCATTTTCTGTGACGGGGGCAGCAAAATCAAACCAGTGAGTGGAAATTCTAGGGGAGGAGATTTGGCTTGCTGAAAGTATAAACTTCTAAGAGAGCTTTGAAGAAAACAGAGAGATCTGCCTGTAAGATCTAGCTCTGTTGCTGGAGCTGATAAAAATGAGCTCATCCCTTATCACAATATTGACAAGAGATTTTATCTCGAAACCAGAGTGTTAGACTAGACTAGCAGTTTCCAAATGAGCCGGGTGGCAAATCACAATCACATATTCCTGGGCCACACCCCAAATTTACTGAGTCGGAATCTCAGGATGGATTCCAGGAACCCGTATTTAAATAAGGACTCCATTTCTGGCACTGGGAAACCAATGCACTAGATGCCTCTGAACAGATGTTCCCTTCAATGATCAGATTTTAGATCCCCTGATATAAATATTTAGCGTTTAGGTTTTCATTGTTCTCACCTTTAACTTCTGGTCAATTTATTCATCAGGCCGAAATTTCTATTATTATAGTTTTTTGTTGCATCTGGTCTGCCTGTAATTTTCTATCATTAAGCTCTCATTCTAGCCAAAAAGAAAAGGAACTGGATTCTGATAGGGATATACTTTGAATAATTAGCAATTATAAGAGAGATAATGACAACTGCATTATCTAGAAATTCACTGCCAACTGTGATATTTGCAAAAAACAGCTAACTAGTAAAGGGATCTTATAGCTATTAAAACCCATCTTTTATTCATATTGCCCTCCAGGACTGAAAATATAGTTATTTAACTAAGTCTGCACGACACTTTAAGTAGCAAAACTTGCAAATTTTATGATTAAATGAATCCCTATCATTGGTACAGAAGGAGAAGGCGAAGGAGAGATGGTTCTTTTTAACCTTGATCTTCAACGTGATCACACAGCAGGCAGAATAGCTTTTTCACCATATCCACCGCATGGATATACTCCTCCTTTCACCTAAGTTTTGTAAATCTTATCTGAAACATCACACTATTTCAAAAGCTATTTATTCCAAGTTATATATAAACCCGAGGTATCTTGTTGCACATTACAAATGCAGAATAATATACAATTATGTTTAAAAGCTGCATAATGAATATTTTATAGTAAAATGATTTTGATATTAAAATACAGCAATGCAATTAAATATTTCCATAAAATATGCGGAGGTCAATATGCATGTTCAACCCATTTCATTGACAATCATTCCCTGACTCTTCCCTATGCAATACGCAGAGGAGGGGCAAGAATGCCCTGCTTCATTCTTCCATGACCTGTCTGTTTAACCCAAAGGAGAGCCCTACTCACTCCAGCAAGTGCTCATTACTCAGCGACCTTGGAGATGAGCCTCTGAGACTAGGATGTACTGTTCTCATTTCAACTAAAAGTTCACTACCACACTCACTTGGTGAGCGACAGGGAACAATCTCTTGTGGAGGGAAAGTCTTTGATCCTGAAGTATTTTCATCAGAAGAGGGAAGAGCTCTTCCCTCCTAGGCTGGTACTGAGAATGCCAGAAAGGTCAGTGAGTTGACACTCTTTTCTAGTGAACAAAACTCTGGTGCTGAACTTCTTAGCATATACAGAAACAGATGGGTTTTTTTTTTTACATCTTGGCCAGAAAAATCAGAGTTGTATCTGAAAACACACCTTACTTTTTTATTTGTGTGTAATCTAGATCTTCCCAGGCCAACAGCTTCTTTTTAATATTCAGTCAGACATCCACAGTTGTGGAGAAACTTAAAGGAGCACCACAGTTGTTACCACAATAAACATATAAGCATGGCAGCCTAATATTAAAGGATGCAAAGGCGGTTCAGAGAAGCCCCTTCCATCGAAACTCTGCTGAGGTGGGAGGGAGACTGAGAGTAAAGTATGCAAGGATGGCATTTGAAAATGCTTCAGAGAAATGATGTCTGAGACAGCTTGAAGGATGAGAGGGTTCACCAGGTGGTCTAGGTGGGGAAAAGGATTCAGTCCAAGACAACAGCAGAGACAAAGACATCAAGAGAGCAAAGTGACATGGACCAGACCAGCAAATCCTTTAGGATTGCAGAACCTGGGCTGGAAGGGTGTGAGAGGAGACACTGCTGCCAATGGTCACCAGGCTCACATCATAAAATCTTTGTGTGGCATGCTACAGAGCACAGACTTTATCTTACAGGTAACGGGGAGCATAATGGCATAATATTTTCACTTTAGAAAGAAATCACTAGAAGCAGAGTGGTGGACAGATTGGGAAGGTGCAATATTGAATCACAGAGGTAGGTATGAGGCTAGTGCAAGAGAAAACTAGAGAGACGGAGAGGGCTTCATCCAAGGCAGTGGCAAGAGGAGAGAGAGGAAGGGTCAGAAGAGTGAGCGAGAGCTCTCCCATCAGAGATCCTCAAAGACAAAACCCTTCCCAAAGAGGAGTAAACATGAGTCACCTCCGCCCCCAAAGCAGTAGGTGGGAGCCATACTGATATAGCAAAACACTGGGTTCAAATCCGGACTTTGTTCTTTACCACTTGCGTAACCTTGGGCAATTTACTTAATTCTCCGAGCCTCACATTGATCACATGTAAATCATCAATAATGCCTTACGGAGCTGTCAGGAGAAACAGAGATGAAAAATGGAAAGTCCTAGTTTAGTTTCGCATACATGGCTATTTGCTTTGTGTTTCTAAACAAAGAAATAAACATATCTATCCTGTCAACAATTTATTTCTGAGGCCTTATTTATTTATTTAGAAAGCACTTATTTAACTCTTCTATTAATAGAGCTAAAGGAAGTTACTTAGACGGATTTGTATCAAACATTCAAGTGTCAACTCAATAAACATGCAATGAACACCCTCTGGTAGGGATGTTTGGCTTACACTAGAAATCCTGGGAACTGCGCAATCAACCTCCATTTATCAGCTCTGTAGGTTACCTAACGTTGACTGAATGGTTTCTATGGCATCAATACGACAGAATGTTCTCTGACCTCAGATTCCTTTTGCCTACACAGAAGAGGAAGTGTGGTTCAATGGATTATTTCCTTGACACACACGCACACATCCTCCCAAGCTTTCTACCTACCATGTACCCTAACCTCAATCACTCCATTATCCAAGCTTCCTCCAAATGACCAGCAGCTTCTTTCTGCGTCTTTGCTTTGCTGGCAATGTTCGTTCTGCTGGGAATAAATTTCATTCTCCTTCAAAATACCAGTCTAAAGCCTGTCCCTCTTTTCACGTCTACCATGAAACATATCTTTACAGAGTCTTTTTTTGACTGTAAAACAGGATAATCTATTTGATTTTCTCTTCTAGTTGTCATTATTATATTTTAATGAAGAAAATATTAGGCTCTAAATGTGAAGTTTGGTCTCCTTTTTTAATGCCAACCATCACATAATCATTCATATTTTAGTAGCTCGAATATAAAATCCACAACCTTTTTAGGCTTGATTCTCACTGCCTGGCATTTGAAGTCTGCTCTATAAATGCTGGTTGAATGAATGAATGAATGAAATTACTCTTAATTTCCATAGGTATTTTAATATAAGTCATGGATATGAAAGGAAATCTCTCATGGGATATGATAGCATGCTGGCAGAAGGGTGGCATGGTACAACCCTTCGTATAGTTTTATAAAATTAAAATATATCAAGATAGAAAAAAATGTGATATAAATGCGTAGAGAGGACATATGACATTTTTATAGAAAAAAAGGGAAACTGTTGCATAGTAAGGTACAGAAGGCAGAAGCACAAAATATATTCAATTCAATTTAAAACAATATTTATGGAGTACCTCCTTTTTAAATAAGTAGGAACACTGTCAACAATTATCATTTAAAAGAACTTTTATAGGATATATTAAAAAGGGTTAACTTTGGGCTTTAGTTTTGTCATCTGTAAAAGCGAAATTTAATACCCAATAATACCTAAAAATACCTCGAAACCTAAGGTTTTTGTGATAATTAACTTAAAAAATGTATGTATATCACCTGGAGCATTGAAGATACTTAATAAGTTTCCCCGGGCATTACTACTGATGATTGCACTCAGTAATGCTTCTTGCACTCTTTGTAATGTGTGCAGAGAGAATCAGCTGAGGGCTGATGGTGATGGCGGGGAGGCTGGGCTGGAACATCAATGAACCATTCTCTCCTCTACCATATGCACTATTCACTTAAATCAAACAAGGCCTTCCTTCCCCATGCTTCAAGGATTACTAACTTTTGCTTTACTTCTGATTATTTCATCTTTCCAATTCATTGGGCAGAAAGGAGATATTTATTTGTTCAAATCAGTATTTGAACAAAAATATGAAGTAGAGAACTGAAAAACATATCCAGCCATTCTTTTTCTCTCTCTCTTTTTTTTGGTGAGGAAGATTGGCCCTGAGCTAACATCTGTTGCCAATCTTCCTCTTTTTGCTTGAGGAAGATTGTCGCTGAGCTAACATGTGGTGCCAGTCTTCCTCTATTTTGTATGTGGGACACTGCCACAGCACGGCTTGATGAGTGCTGTGTAGGTCCACACTCGGGATCTGAACCTGCTAACTCTGGGCCACCAAAGAAGAGCATGTGAACTTAACTAGTACGTTACCTGGCCAGCCCTCTCTTTCTCTTTTTTGGGAGTAGAGGGACAGGTGAGCTAGGGACTTGGCATTGAGGGGGTCCAGGTGATGAAGGACTGGGAAATCTAGTTTCTGGTATTTTGATCAATTTGACTAAATTGATCTTCTACATTAGGACACCATTTGACTCCCCATTTTACCTTCTTTGTATAGACCTGGCAAGAAGACTGTAGAATACATTATAAAAATAACTGGGTGTGGTTCTTGTTGGGTTTCTTCAGAATGTTTTGGACACCTAGGACAATACTGAAACCTCACACATTCTCAAACTACAAAGCTGGCTGTTTGTGAATTTATGCAAAATTTTCACACGGTGAAGTCTCGTCAAGAAGTTGTTTTAAAGATATTTAGTCAAAGGTGCATAGAATTTCTAATGAAACATATTAAGCAAAAGCCTCAAAGTAATTTCCCCTTGAAATTTCCTTCAGAAAGGAATTCAAACGTGACTTGAATCTGGGGTCTAAGCCAGCAGGTGATAATGTTCCTTGAAGGCCATCTCTCAGATTACAATGAACCCATCCATCATTTGTTCCAGGAAACTTAAGGAAAACAGATGACATAACACATTCGGCGGGCTGCACTGTGCGGCTATGCCCTTTAATATTCAGTAAGTACTACCTGTGATTTGCTTTTTAGTCTCCAAGTCTCTGGTTTGCTTTAGCACCTGGAGCAGCCGAGGTACCCCGTTGAGCTCAGCTACCTCCAGCTTGTTGTCATTGTCTTCAAAGACCAAGTTTCTCAAGGCCCCACACACGGCTCGCTGCACATCTTCATTCTGGACTTTTAGGAGCTGGAGAAGCCTGGGGATGCCGCGAAGCTGATGAACCTGGGGTGGAAGTGGATGCATAGTTCAGATGTTTATGAATTTGGATGTGGCATTAAAGACACTCAGCATAATATGAACAGATGAAGTTCACTGATACTGATTATAACTCCCATTAATCAACAACTACAGGTGGCATAACCTGAGGCTCACGGTGTACAATATACCCCTGCTATAAGGCCGCATCTCTCATCGAGGAGTTTACAATAAATTTGAGAAGACCGAAACCTATGAAAAAAGTGAAGGGGAAAGTTAAGTGATAAAGGATGGATAAGTGATAGCTCAGTGTATAGAAAAAGTTAGGTGATAAAAGCCTTAAGTATCATAACGATGAACAGCACTGGGAATCAGAGGAACAAAGCAAGTTTTATGGAAGAACACCATTACATGAGTGTTTTTCCCAGGACAAAACTTCAGAGTCAATATAAACAATAGAAATCACCTTCATCAACAGTAGAAATAAAAATTCATTTACCATGGCTATTATAGTAGCAATACAAACTATCCTAAACGCGAGCTATTTTTTAATGGAAATGTAGCTGACATGTAACATTACATTAGTTTCAGGTACAAAATATAATAATTTGGTATTTGTACATATTGCAAAATGATCATCACAATAAGTCTAGTTAACATCCATTACCACACACAGTTACAAATTTTTTTTTCTTGTGAAAAACTTTTAAGATCTATTCTCTTAGCAATTTTTACATATACAACACAGTATTATTAATGGTAGCCACCATGTGATACATTACATCCCCAGGACTTATTTAGTTTATAACTGGAAAAATGCAAGCTATTTTTGTGATCGATTGCTTTGAGTATTTAAAGAGATTTATATAAATTGTGCAAGTATTTTAAGTAAATAACGTAACTTTACACTTTTTATGTACTATTTAAAAAACATTTCTTCTATTCAAATATGCAAGAAAGAAAACGCTCTCCATCAGAGAAAGGGCCAGAACTAGAATAGAAAAGAAAGAGATGGCTTAGATTCGGAAACCTATGGCTGTTTAAGAAAAGATCAAATAACGGCAGTTGGCAAATTTTCTGTTTTAGGCTGCAAATATTATCCACAGAAATCAAGGGACTGCTGAAGAGAAATGTTAAGTTACAGACTGAGGGTTTTCTTTCTCACAGGCTCCCATTAGCAGCTGATTTTTAAATTTTTAAGTTGGCAAGAGCTTTTAGTAAAGATCTTGGTTATTTTCACCATCTTAATGCAGAACTTTTTAGGAAGGAAGTTTGTGAATGGGCATGTTCAGATGAAGGGGGCCCTGTCAGATGAAGTGCATCATGTATGAATGATGCCTTCACTGCACACCTGTTCACACTCAGGAGAGAGCCACACACCTGGCCCCGTGGCGCATTTTCATATTTTCTAGGTATCATCAAACTCTAGCTTCCCCTTCACAGATGGATAAATGGTACTTAAGATAGAGCCTTCCAACCTTACATCTTCCTTTGTTGGGATTGCGGAGAAGACTCAGAAGGCAGGAATAAAAGCCAGGGTTCTAAAATAATCTAAATAATAAAAATAGTAACCATAATAATAATGTCCACAATAATAATAATAAAAAAAATAATACCTCCTCCTCCCACTTCTATCATCAGGGGGTGTCGGCATAGTGTGAAGAGTTTTATATACATTATCTAATTAATAGCTTGCAAGAACCTTGAGAGAGAAGTACTCTTTTGGTCCCTTCAGGGCTCCACTGGCGGTCATGAGGAGTAACACTTCCACTTATTGCCTCCCTTCAGAGGAGACGCTTGCAGCACAGGAGACAAGTAGGAGACCGGCCACAGCAGTTTTGTTGGGCTATGTCTAAAGTCATTCTAATATATTTGTTTGACAAATGAATGATAAAGATTTCCTAGCTATCAATTAAATCCGGTCCAACAGATCATCTATCTGATCATTTCATCTATTTCCATTATTATACTTCCTTAAAAAGCAGAAAGACGCAATTTATTTGAAAACAGCCTGTCACCCACATCTTTCCCTAATTCCGTCAATTTCTATTTCATAGTTAGGTTTTAAGGTGGGTAAATTCATACTCTATAAACTTCATAAATGCCAGCTAGAGTAAATCTTCATAGTATTGCACAAACAGATGCACAAAGAAAATTCTGTTTGTCCTGAGGGTACTTTGGCAGCTTTAGAAATATTTTATTACTTCATTTATAATTTATAAGTTGCCTTCTTCAAAATATGGTGCGAAGTGCCTTACTGGCCATACTGCATTTCCAGCTGCGATGAGAGCGTCTGTGAGAAGGTGGCACGTGGGAGCCTGCACTGCCCTCATCGCGGAGCTTGGTCGGCAGGCTTCTGCTAACAGCCTTTTAACCTGTTCCCTTAACCTGTCGCCTTTATCCCCTTGGCTTTCAGCACTTGTTCCAGCCCAGAAAGAAGGAAGTGCAGACACACCAGTGCTCAGATAAAGCTGAAATCCGCTACAGCTCGACTCACTGCAGAATCTGACTCCCTCATGTCTGGCATCTACCCCAAATTTAAAAATAGATTTTAGTTGCTTTTTTATCCATTTTATCAAGCAAACGGACATAAATCATAACAAACGCAAGAAGCTGAAGACATTCTCCCCATTGCCTGGAACTAGGACGTTGGTGATAAATCTTATACACACAGGACCAGTGTCAAATGTGCTGCTCTTGCCCCTTTAAATTCAGGGCAGCAGCTGGGACCAGAGAGGTTGCATGTGTTTCCCAGTTACATTGAAGCCTCAGGAGATCTGCTCCCTTTGGGGGAAAGAAAAAAGAAATAGACTAAGATGAATGTCTCAGAACTTCAAAAGAGCTTTCATTGGAGATAGTTTCTAACTATATGAAAGGGCAGAATCACATATTAGAATTTTAACTTCCTCTTTGACTCTATTTTGATTCTCTTCCCCGGCAACTCTAAAATAAATGATGAGGATTTCTGGTGGCAAATAAGCAGATGGAGCAGACCAACTGTCCGGCAAGGGCTCCCTTGTGCCAGTGGCTTTGCTCTCACTTCCTTTCCTGTCTGGGAGGCCCTGCCATTCTGCCTGTCTTCTGGCAAAGCCCTACTCATCCTCATGAGGCAGCTCAAATGTCACCTCCTCTGTGAAATGTCACTCCCCTTCTCTCCTTTCCCTCTCTTAGAATTAATCACTCCTTGTAAATGGGTACAACCTTTCCGGAAGGCAATTGGCAATACGTGTCAAAAACTTTAAAAATATTCACTTCCAGTAACCTTTGTTGGGAAATACTTGGAAACACAGGCACAGACGAACACACGAGAACAGCAGCTACATTATTTACAATAGTGAGAAAGAAGAAACCACAAAAGTTCAACTATGGGGGAAGACCAGTTAATGAGTAACTGTCAGACAGCCTTATAGTGAGGTACCCATGGGAGGGGCAGAGCAATGTTTGAAGTGATAGATGTTTGATTAGTCAAACAGTTCCCTCGTCAGTCAAATGGGGATTGCGTAAGATAAGCAATGGTGTGCTACGCAGTTACTCAACCCATGGTAGTTACTACTGTCACCATTAATATACCACCATTAAGATGAAGTTTACAAAATATTGTTAATGTTACGAGAAAATGCTCATGACACAACGTTATTGGAAAAAAACTGAATAAAATATTTATGCATTTCCACTCATAAACACACACATAAAGAAGGGAATGAGATTAAGGAGTTTGGGAGAAATGGTGGGAGCATAAACTATGAAAGGGGCCTTCTATTTTGTATTTTTTTAAACAGCTAGCATCTATTTGTGCATGCTTTTTAAAATCAAAAGAAAAAATTCCCAAGTAACACAGTTACAGATCCAATTTGATTACAGCTATGGACATACATGCATTAAAAAAATCAGAGAACAGGGGCCGGCTCTGTGGCAGAGTGGTTAAGTTCGCATGCTCCACTTTGGTGGCCAAGGGTTTTGCTGGTTTGGATCCTGGGCGTGGACCTAGCACCACTCATCAAGCCATGCTGAGGTGGTGCCCCATATAGCAGAGCCAGAAGGATCCACAACTAGAATATACAACTATGTACTGGGGGGAGGGGCTTTGAGGAGAAGAAGACTGGCAACAGATGTTAGCTCATGTGCCAATCTTTAAAAAAAAAAAAAAATCAGAGAACAAAACCAAATAATAATAATAGTGGGACCGTAGGTGTGGTTTTTTTCTTTCTTAATTTCTTATAATGAATTTGTATTCATTTTATAATAACATCTTGCAAAGAGTTACGGCAATCACTGCTTCAGTGATGAGATTTGAAGCAGGCACGGAAATTTCTAAAACCGGTTTAAGAAGGGTCTTGCAGATTAAATTAAGGGATTTGTCTTTTATGCTGCAGGCAAGTGGGGCAGCCATGGGAAAGGTCTCCCCGGGGGCTGAGAGGAGACCGGATTAGGAGTGGATAAGAACAGAAGCAGGGAGATTAATCAGGAGGGAGCTGGATTAACAGAGATGATGATGACAGGGATCAGCACAGTAGCGCTGAGTAGGGAGGGAAAGATGTGGGTGGATTCAAGACACTTTCAGGAGTGGCATTAATAGGACCAAAGACTGAGTGAAAAGGGAGGTAAGGAAAACAGACAGCTCAAAGTCTCTGTTCAAGTTTTGGTGTCAAGCTACCTGGGTGAACTACCACTCACTTACACAGGAAATAATACGCTTTTATTTTGGGCCAGCGTTGTACCATTATCTGATTGCATTCTCACAACAACTCTTTGTACTATGACTATTATTTCCACTTTATAGGTAGGAAAGCCGAGGCTCAGGGAGGTAAAATATCTTGCTGCAGGTCACCCAGTAATTAGGGTGCTGGGATTCAAACCCAGCTCCTCCCTAATGACTCCTGAGCCTCGATGCTCAAACCACGAAGTGTCCTGTCTCCCAACCCAGCAGGAAGCACAACTTTAGAAGGAGGGCTGAAGAGTAGAGAAGAAAAGCAAAAGACGGTAATGTGTTCGTTTTTGGGTAAGTTGTTGAGTTCAGTGGGATGTCT